CAATATTTTCTTCACAGCCTCTTCACTGGCAGAGGGGTGCCTCCTGAAGGCAAACTGCTGTGTACGAGCTTCATGTCTTGGAAGGAGACAGCATGTCTGATGGTGTTGATTAGTGATAAAAGAGCAGCGGAAGGATTTATACATTTAATTGAATGCCTGGCTGAAACAAAGTGAATATTCCATTTTGTAGGAGACTGGAATAAAGCCCCTGTGGTAATGAACCCTTTACATGTTTAATGTTATAGGATAATTCATCCTATGCTTCATGCTATGCACCTTTACCAAGAACCTGTTCAGAAGAGCCTATGTTAAATACATGCATTTGCATTTCCAAAAATATTCATTCTCTAGGTGTCCTTATTTTCCTAATAAACTGTCTCTATTCATACAAAGATGTAAGGATTATTTTGAACAGAGACTTGCAGGTTGTCACAGTGATACTCTGACTGCTGATAAAGAAGAATTGCTAATGAAAATTGGCAAGCTGGAACTAGTCCAAGTCCTAGCTCCACACCTAAAACTTGTAGTACATTTGAAACATAATTCATTACAATAAATTCACAAAACCTGTTTCACTTTTTCCTCAATGGGAAACATGGTTATACAGCCCTTGTCATGCCTTTCTAACTTTAGTATGTGCTACCTACCTCACAAGAGCTATAATGAAATCTAGTGGAAGGTCCTGTCTAGAATATGGAAACAAAGGTTCACTGAGGTTTTCCACAGAAGGCTTGGGCCTCCATTGTCAAAATCAGTGGGAATTTTTTCATTAACTTATTGGGCACCTGAGAAGCCTTCACAACTCCATGTAACGTGCTCCAGAATTTGGCTGGCATGTGTAGCTACTGAATTTTGGAGGATCCAAATTTTATGGGACAGGAAGTTTCTCTTTTGGCCTAGATGGCAATTATGTCTGGAATACCTTATCTAATACTTCTCAGCTCCCAGTTAGGGAGACATAAAGGAAAGATTTAAAGGCAACTGTGGTATGTTTTTTTACATAATAAAATGATGTTATAGTCATCTTACCTGAGCTGCCTCATAACATGGGCTGAAGAATTTCACTGAGTAATTTTTGTAGTGCAGCTAAAATCGTTGACTGTGAAGTCTATGAAGGACTTGCTTACTTCATGGCTTAATAAAGCAACGTGTGTTTTGCAGGGAAACACTGTATAAATACTGTGTAAATATCCTCTGAACAATGCTAAGGATATATTAAAACCACAGGACCCAGTTTGTCTAAATTCTGCTCATTTGCCAATGTCAAACTGTTAAGACATCTGGACCTCCTGCTTTGCACCCTTTGGGGGATTTTCAGGTATTAGCACATACTCTTCCATTAGTAGAGAGCACTACACTCCATCTAGGGAAGTCACTCTCCAAAGATCTGTGGCAGTGCCTTGCTCTCTGTAGTGCTCTCCAGAAAATCTAGTTGTTTATTTTATAAAGACTGCATTGGCTTCCATCTGCATTTGTTTTCTTCTTTCCTCCTATAATTTGACACCCGAGGTATGGATGCACCTTAGCTGAAAGCCTAGGAGAGAATTTTTCTTTGCACTCTCATTTTTGGAGGGCAGATTCATTCCATTCTAAATAGTTCTTAATAGCTATAGGGTTTGAGGTCCATATGGGAAAACACTAATTTATCTTTTACCTACTACCCATGGCTTGTCTCTTAAAAAAATAGAAAGTTCCCAATAAAATACATAAAAAATGGCCAACTGCAAATTTCTGTCTTTATTCAGTATTTAGAATTTTACCTTATAAAGTAATTGATTCATTTCCGTTCACCTTTTAAAAGAAAAGTAAAATCTTACGGTCAAAAATATTAAAACTCAGTCAGTAGACTTTATAACAAGTTTCTACAACAAAAAGTTCTAAAAAGATCCCATTATGAAAAAAATGAAGCCTGGGGTTTGTTTTTTTTTCATTTTGGACTGAGTGGCTGCACAGTTAAATGAGTCTTTTTGGCTCTTACTTTCCAAAATGTGTTGTTGTGAGACCCATATGCCAGACAACATTTTTAATTTTAGATATGGCATCTTAACTTTGAAGAAGGGATGTAGACGGAAAGAGAAATGTCTTTGGAAAGAATTTCATAAACCTCTCAAAGAGAGGCTTCATAATGCAGCTAGTAATGGGAAATTAAACCAGACAGGACTACCAAAATGATACTCTCACTTATTCATAAATTTAAAGGAAGAGGGGCCAATGTCACCATGTAATCTAATCTCCCGAATTACAGTGTCAGTAGAATTTCGCTTAGTGATTCCAGTACTGAGCTCATGATCTTGTGGATGAAATAGAGCACATCTTTCTGAAAGCTCTTTAGAACAGTATATTCGAATGTTGGACCCATGGGAAGTTGTCCCAAAGTTAGTTTATCCAACTAACCTCTGCTGTTAAGGTTATTTCTTCAGTAAGAAAGGTGCCTATTTTGCATTCCAAACGCACCCATACACACACATATATCTCTGTATCGTGCAAAAGAAAGACTGACTGTAAGCGTAACTAAGCCAACTTGATGATCACTCTCTCCTCCACATCAGTAAATAGGAGACGTACACAAATCCAGATGAGGCCTTTCTTTTGCTATGGAAAGGGAATCTCCTCAGGGTTCCCCCTTGCTTAATCCTCCCAATTTCATCAAGGTCTTCCATCAGTTTTTGTTTGTTTTTGCAGCTGTTTTCTCTGTAAAATGAGTCAGTAGTTCACTCTGCAGTGTTGCTTGGAGTTATCCGAGTTAGCATTAAAGGTGGAATTAAATGACATAGTGGGATCATGGAACTTCCTTTCATGCAGCACCAGTAGCTCTTGGCTGAACTACTTTAGCTTTCTTGAATCTCTGCTGCTGCTTTTCTAGCTGTAGTATAGACATGCTGTTAGTTTTTGGTTCACGCATCTTTTTATGAGGAGAGCTGAAGGGGCTGCTTTGAATGTTTGTCTATTTTGGCTGCCATTAATTGAA